CCCGTTTGTTCCGGTCGGGCGTATGACAGGTCGCTCACGGGCGCCTGCTTGTCGAACAAGCTCGAGTCCTGGTACGTGGTGGCGGCGCGGAGGTCGAGCAGCTGCACGTCAGGCGGCGGCGGCGACGGCGAGGCGGACGGTGACGGCGGAAACGCCGAAGCGAGATGGCGGCGGAGCATGGCAGGGCGCAGGGAGGCGGCGGCAGAGGCGGCGGTGGTGACGGCGAGGCTGACGGCGGCGGAGAGGGAGAGGCGGAGGGAGGCGGTGGCGACGGCGACGCGGAAGGAGGTGGCGGGGAGGGAGAGGCGGAGGGAGGCGGCGGCGAGGGCGACGCGGACGGAGGCGGCGGCGACGGCGAGGCGGAAGGAGGCGGCGGCGAGGGCGAGGCGGACGGAGGCGGTGGCGATGGTGAGGCGGACGGCGGCGGGGGCGAGGGCGATGCCGAGGGAGGCGGCGGCGACGGCGACACGGATGCCGGCGGGGGTGACGGCGATGCTGGGGGCGGCGGGGGCGACGGCGATGCTGAGGGCGGCGGCGGAGATGGTGAGGCGGACGGAGGCGGCGGCGACGGCGACGCGGATGGCGGCGGCGGCGACGGCGAGGCCGACGGAGGCGGCGGGGACGGCGACGCGGAGGGAGGCGGTGGCGACGGCGACGCGGAAGGAGGTGGACCATTGCGATTTCCTGCGAAGACGTAGAACTTGCACACCGTCAGCCCCGCCGCAGACGGCCGGTTGAGGTAGATGTAGCGCCCCAACGCGTTGATCTCCACCTCCAACATCACGTTCGACAACACGCTCACGTCCGACTTCACCAGCGCGTTGCCCGTGTACGTCTCTGCCGTCGTGCCGAGATAGATGTCGACGTCCGTCAGCCGCTCCGCGCAGCAGTCGTTGCGGTTCTGCAGCCGCACGTAGCGCACATACACCTCGCTCCCGAGGTCGACGCCCCACCACTGGCTTGTGTATTGGCCGCACTCGGCCCACGGCCGTCCCGTCGTGCTGTCGGCGTATGACAGGTCGCTCACGGGCGCCTGCTTGTCGAACCAGCTCGAGTCCTGGTACGTGGTGGCGGCGCGGAGGTCGAGCAGCTGCACGTCAGGCGGCGGCGGCGACGGCGAGGCGGACGGCGGCGGCGGCGACGGCGAGGCGGACGGCGGCGGCGCAGGCAGGGCGGAGGGAGGCGGCGCAAACGGCGGCGGCGGCGACGGCGGTGGCGTGGCCGCCTTGCCGGGCGGGGTGGGTGGCGGCGACGGCGGCGGGGTCGGAGCCTTGCCCGGCGGGAAGGGCGGCGGCGAAGGCGGAGGCGGCGCCGCTGGTGGCGCGGCCGGCGGCGCCGCTGGTGGCGCGGCCGGCGGCGCCGCTGGTGGCGCGGTCGGTAGTAGCGCCGCTGGTGGCTCAGGCGGCGGCGCCGCTGGTGGCGCGGTCGGTAGCGCCGCTGGTGGTAGAACCACTGGTGGCGCGGCCGGCGGCGCCGCTGGTGGCGCGGTCGGTAGTAGCGCCGCTGGTGGCGCGGCCGGCGGCGCCGCTGGTGGCGCGGTCGGTAGCGCCGCTGG